TACCTGAAATATTTTACCTAAAATTTCCCTTTTAAATTCTTATTTTCCTTCTTATTGTTACCATTGCATATAGTATATCTCATATGTATCTCTATAATTATTACCATTTATTTTAAAAATTTTCAAATCTTTATAGCGAATGAATTTGTTCTTAAGACTATAAAATCATAAGATATTTATACTTTCAACATTTTATAATACAAAATTTAATCAATTACTTAAAAGGTTGCAACTCTGAATAAAATAATAAAATAACATAATTTACCCACTTTAATCTTCCAGTTTGTCGATTCTTATCTCAAATTCTTTCCTTGTTGAATTCCTTGAAGAACTTAACTTGTTGATACAAGCAAAAATTTGGGAGAGGGCCCCAAATTTTTGCTAACAAAAGAGAAACTCTTCCTAGGTAATAGAAACTTACATGAACTCACAAAAATTTGACAAAATACATACTAAAAAATAACTTTCATATTATAATAGACTCTTACAACTCTTTAACACAAACACCTTACAAATTTGGACACAAACACCTTACAAACTTGGACACAACAAACCTAAAGGAGCTTGCCAATCGTTGAGAATAAGGATACAATGGAGTGGTAACCATGGAGAGAAGAAGTGGATAAGAAGCCAAGATGAAGGATAGGAGTAACTCGCAAGTTATCCCAAGATAGAGAAGAAGAAGTGGACAAAGCTCTCAAGCTTTTCCAAAAAACCTCTCAGGTTTTTATCCAAAAATTATCATCATAAGCATCCTTTTATTCATACAAAATACCTTGTATTTATAGGAGAAAGAGGACAGCCATACAGCCACCTAAATTAGGGAATATGGAAGACTAAAAGACACCAAATAGAAGGACAAAAGACAACAAATCTGCTGCAGAAAAACTGCACAGAAAACAGAGAAAATCCCATGAAATTTGCCCCCAAACAGCTACCAAACAGCAGCCCCCATACGGTACAACAAAACAGAGAAGAAAAACTACAGGAACCAAGCAGAAAAACCACGGGAACCAAGCAGCCATCAATAGGAATCAAAGGGCCAAGGCACGGGAACCAGCCAGTTAGCCATGGGAACCAAAGGGCCAAGCACCAGCCAGCACAGGAAACCGAGAAGACAAAGGGAGGAAAACTGAGAGGAAGCATGGGGAAGAGAAAGGGGCATGATCCTCCATTATGAGCTTCTACTAAACTTAAATAAATGAGCTAAACTTCAGCTCATTATGAGTTAACTAAGAGCTCAAAATTAATGAGCTAGGAAGTGCAATAAATCCCCCAATCATTGAGCTAAACTTTAGCTCAAACATTTATGAGCTAAAACTAAGTAAAATTCCAGCATTTTGAGCTCAATACCAAACAACCAAGACTCATCCGAGAACACCAGAAGCCTAAGGGTCAAAACAAATTCTCGTCTTGTTTTGACCCCCCGTTTGCCTACATCACTTGTACCACTTGATTTCTTTTGTTCCTTTTAAAAAGTTGCATAAAATAAATATTAAAGGTTTATTCTATCAAATCTAACGAAAACATAGGATAGGGAAATCACTTACATAAAGAGGATTATTCCGACTCAAATCCTTCTTCCTTTCCTGAATTCTTCAAATCTCTTTCTTTGCCCTAAATGAAACACCCTCATTGTTTAAGTGATTGCTTAAAATAAGAATTAGGGAAGGATTTATATAGAAAATAAATAATAAAAAAAACTAACCTTCTTCTCTTTCTTCCCTCGGTCGTTTCTTCCCTTCGTTGCAAATTCTCCCAAACCTTTGCTTCTATAACAATAAGAACGAAAAGGAGTTATTAAATCTTATCCTCCAACGCGCTTGTTTGCTAAAAATGGCGAAGAAAATCCTCCAAGGTCACCATGCGTGAGGTCGGTCGCCTCCCCCCCTCCATTTCCGCTCTCTGTTCGCGAAAATAGCGACCCTTCCTGGGTCGCTATTCCATTAATAGGCGGGTGAACCGGCCCCCAACAGGTTCATAACAGCTTTCTTTTAGTGTATGATTTCGCTTTTGTTATCTGGGTTTCAAGCCAATTGAAATGTTAGCATCACGATCTGGCATGGAGACTTGAATTAATGAGACAGGATCAAACGGTCGAATGAAAAACTTAAAATTTTCAATTCATTTAGAACTCGTTTGCGAGGCGGGAATGGAGATCGGATAGTAGGAATTAAAAACATTCACATTTCAATATATAAAATATCTTCAAATCATAAGGAAGAGCCACTAAAATAAAACCAAGAGGAAAAATTTCTTTCTTTCTATTCATTCAACAACACATCTTCATAATAAATCAAAACATAAAGATTTCCAAAATATGAAAGATGTCCAAAAACATTTCCTTACATATCATCTCTAATTCTTCCATCTCAAAACATCAAAAACAAAAGACAAAACCTGCCGCCCGTTGTCTCCCTACGACGATACGTGAGGGGAGGTCTATCCGTCGTTATCCTTTATCAGATCCTCCTGAAAAGTGTCCCACAACATGGGTGAGTCACAACTCAGTAGATGTAAATGACATTCAAATAAATTTAGGTACAAGAGAAGAAACTAAAACATGCTTTTATGTCTCAATAAATGAATAATCAACATGTTATAATATTTGTCTAAGGTGAAACATGCCTTTACATCAACCTTTAAGTTATCATTCTTTGTATAATTTTTAATTTTTCCTCTTTAAACATTCATGCCTCAAAAAATAAAAATCTCATATGCATATAACATAAGGATGCAATGTTCATAATATCTTAATATATATAACACCCGTCTCGAAAGTATCATTTGTATTGATCAGGTACATAAAAATTGATCATTTCTTTACCATTTGGTTCAAAAGAATCTCTTGTACCATGGCTCAAAAGAGCTCCTTTACTATTAATACTTCCGCATCAACATGCAAATGCACATAATTCTTACATATTCATAAAAGAGGCTTATGTAAATTCAAGTCTATGTTTTTATATGGAAAAACATATTTGCTATGCTCAAATGTATATTTGAATGTAAAGAGAAGGCATGTGTAGTACATGTAAATGATGAAGCATGAGATTCAACATTGAGTTCTATTATTGCATAAAAAAAAGACCTTGGTTTTACATCATGAGCTTTTATAAAGAAACATGCTAGTCATAATGATATCATAAAGAGCATAAAAAAAGAATGACATTTCTATGTATTTGCATATAAAGAGTTTTCTAAATTTAAAAGAATCCATTTCATCTACCTCACCACAATGTGATCCGTCAAAAGTCCTTACAACCCTTTCCTCTTCGCAATCAAAATCTACAAGAGACAAACATAATGTATAAACATAAATTTTCTCCCTCTCAAACCATTAAAAAGCCCTAGGTTATAAACATGTAACTATTTCATAACCTCTCACCCAAATTACAATAATTCCATTATTATTTCCACTAGAATTAGGATTTCATCATAACTCTAGCTTTTGGAAATCCTCAAATAAATCTTTGCTCACCTCAAACATACAAACCTCATCTATCCCTTAAACTCAAGTTAACCTACAACAATTTATTGGATTCATCTAATTAAAAATTTAGAAAAACAATAATTTATGTTAAAGCTAAAATCCGTGCTTTTAAACATCCCTAAACTTAAAAGGAATCAATAAACATAAAGGGTTTTTCATGTTTTTTTTTTTTTTTGGAAAACCTTAACTATTGGAGCATGAAAAATGTCTCCTTAAAAGAATCTAGCTTCACAAAAAAACTTCCTAACATCAATTAGAAACTTTCCTACAAAGACATTTTGAAAGATAATCAAAATCGGATAAAATCCTAAATTTTAAAATCCACATTTTTCATGAAAACAACTCATTCTTGGGTTTAGAAATATCCCCTTACCCTTCCCTAAACTTATCTCAAAGAAAACTTAAGTTTTCCTAAAACTCTAATTTCTTCCCTTAGTGAAACTCAATGAAAAAAAGAGGAAACTCTTGCAAACAACTTACCTTAGCCTTCCTCACAAGTTTCCTTCAATCTCCCTCGCAAACCACCGCCGGAAACCGCCTCTAGGACCGCCGGATTCGCCTCTTACCCGACACCCCTCCTCCCTCTTTCTCCGCTCGGTTCGGTCCGCAAGGATGAAATGGGGACCGAAACATTTTGGTCTCCTAATAAGAGTGGGATCCTCTCATTAATTACATAATTACCTAAAAGCCCTTACTTAAAATCATTTCTATTCATAAGTCATCAAGGGCAAAACCGTCATAAAGAGATTTCCGAAAATTTTAACTCCCAAAATACTTAAAATCTATTATGGGTTCTATACATCGTTTCGCTCAGAATTTTGCGCACTATTTTATAAAATTTATTGCGTCGAATTCCGACGACTTTAAAATTTTCACTTAAAATTCGTCGCGACGCATCGAATAGCGTGTGAAGCCTAAAATGACATTTTGTGAGTTTTACACTTACTTGGGGCTCTTAGCCCACCCTATCCACATGAGCCATAGCCAGTTCTTTGGCTGTATAAGCTCATTTGCTAATTCCCTCGCGGTGACTTCAGGCTCAACACAAATCACTCACGATTTCTGACAACATCAAATCTCTAAGTTACCCATGCTCGGCGCTAGCTCGTAATTCGTGTTGTACGGCAGACTTGCCTCTTACTGAACTCAACCATTCACACTTGACACTACCAAACTTGCCTAGAGACAGATCATTAGCCTCACTTGTCCCTCAACCAAGCAAGGGTTGACATTGTCTGAAAATGCCTAATAGTTTGACTGTTGGATATAACTTGTAGGCATAATTTGTTCTGTTGGATTTTCTATATGAAAGAATTTTTGGAATTATAGGTCCCTTTTGGGTGTCTATGTTAGTGAAATTTGGTTTTTTTTTTTTTTTTTATAACAGTATTTTTTGAATTGCTACAAGCATCCTCCTTTATTTTTGTGATATTGTTAGCATATAACTATTCTACTGTTCTTTTATGTTTATAATACCGACTACAGGTATCTACCTTTTGTATGACAGGTAGAGCTTTATGCTGACTATGAGCCACGAATGCTACTGACATTTCTTCGTTTAAGTCAGCATTACAAATTAGACAAGGTTTGACCTTGAACTCTTGGATTATAATCTTGTATTTATTTGGATAGTAGATTAATAATTTTTTACTATCTCAGGCATATGATGTATGTGTCAGAAAAGGTTTGCTGAGAGAACAAGTCTTTATATTAGGAAGGATGGGCAATGCTAAAAGGGCTCTTGCCGTTATGATAGATAAATTGGAAGACATAGAGGAGGTATTGAAATTCTTTTCTTATTTAACATGAACTTTGAATGTTAATTTTTTTCCTTGAGTAGTTTATTGTTCCTCTTCGGTTTTCCTGCTTTCTCCTATCCCCATCTTTCCCCTGCATTGTCATCCCTGCCTACCTCTGAATATGTTTCCGTATGATCTATATTTGAAAGCTCGACGAAATATGAAGGATAAATTCATGCCCGTTGTAAATTTTATTTCTATGCTGCTCTTTTATCTATGTGCTCCCTGCAGGCTGTGGAGTTTGTATCTATGCAGCAAGATGATGAATTGTGGCAGGAACTAATCAAACAATGTCTACGCAAACCTGAAATGGTAGGAAAACATAGTTTTGAATTCATGTAATATATATTATTATACTTACCATTGGGTTTTGCAACATGCAGGTTGGAATGTTATTAGAACATACAGTTGGTAATCTGGATCCGCTTTATATTGTGACCATGGTGCCTGATGGACTAAAAGTACCTCGGTCAGTGTGTGTACTTAGATGATCAATTTTTTATCTTCCTTTAACATTATTGGTTGATATGATAAGCTTGGGTTGGCATATATTGGTCTACTTAAAAAAAGAGAAATTTGCCGGAGTGATGAAAGCCTACTGCTTTCTGAAATCTGTCTCCATCCTGGGGCCTCGCTGGTTGTAGAGTTTTCTGTTTTTCTTTTTTCTCGTACTGGGAATGTTTATGATTAAAACTTCTGCAATTACAATCGGCCATTTGGCAGCAGAGATGTTTGATCTTCGTTTGCATTTAATTATATGCAATTTATCTTTATATCTCCAGCACCATGATCTCCAATTCAAAATCCTTGTAGGTTGAGAGATCGCTTGGTGAAAATCATCACGGATTACCGAACAGAAACCTCTCTAAGGAAGGGATGCAATGAAATTCTCAAGGTATCATTATCTTTTCAATATATATATAATATATATATATATATATATATATATTTCCATCTGCCACTTCTCATTGAATTGAACTCTTGGCAGACTGATTGTGTTAACCTTCTGATAAAGTACTACAAAGAGGCTCAGCGTGCAGTATGCATGGGAAGCACAGAAGAGGAAAAACATTCCAAGGCGGCGGAGAGCTCATCAACCCTGGAGAGCCAACGAGGATCATCAAATGCTGGATCCATTGAATTGAAGTCAAGAATAAGGGGAAGCGGAAGGTGTTGTTTGTGTTTTGATCCTTTCTCAATCCAAAACGTCTCTGTCGTTGTGTTCTTCTGTTGCCATGCATATCATGCCACCTGCCTCGCTGGTAGCTCAGATTCGTTTAATATGGGAACTTATGTTACTAATAGTGATGACAAGGATGATGATGATGAGGATGCTCCCGCTGGGGGATCACAGGTTCGGTGTGTCTTGTGCACAACAGCTGCCGGCTGAGTGACTGTTTCTCTCTAGTGTTTTGATGAGTGTTTCTCTCTTTTGTGCAATTCTTCTTCATTCAGGCGGTTTATTTAAGTAGTTTGTGCAACATTTTTCACTGAGATCACAATAGAGAAAAAAGAATTTACTAACTGTGAATCTCTTTGGCCCAATATGTGGAACGAGGGCCGCCCTGTGATTGCTTATCGTGATTAGTTGATTCCTTGCTTGCAATCCAAGCTGAAAACTCTCTTTGAAATCTTGGTCGGAGGTCTATCCAAGCAGAATACTCTCTTTTAAAGCAATGCTAATGGTTATCTTATCAATATGCGGCTAAATAATGAAGACCATTAATGTACTGAACATTTAGAATTCACAAAAAGTGTGAAACTAACTAAGCTTTCAGGAGTTAATTAGTAAATGATATATATATATATTTCTCAGGTATTTTTTGTTAGTGGAATCATTAAAGCTTAATTATTTTCACTATATATTCTCAGATATTTTTTTCTAGTTAAATCATGAAAGCTTAATTAATTTAACTTTTATGACCTCTAAATACCAAATGCATTTATGATATTTATTATTTAAAATGGCATTTGGGTGCGATAACCAATTACATTGTATTTAATGTGCTTGTAAAAAATGTTCCATTTTAAGAGGTTTGAGGTTAGAAATATAATCAGCTAAAGTTCTCCTGCAATAAATATACAAAAAGATGTTACTGCCAATTCAATGGTGTTAGTTTTAGGGAAGCAGCTTGAGATGTTTTAAGTATTTGTTTGCGTGAGTATGATATCAGTTATAAAATTATTATATGGAAATGTAGGGTTTCAAACTTTTATATAATTTTTCAAATACTAATAAAATTATAGTCTTATATCTCAGAAATTTTAAAATGCAGCTGCTCTAGTAAAGTATGATAATGAGCTCGATCGTAATATATATATATATATATATATATATTAAAAAGTTGTTTTAGACTTCAAGATTGAATTTATTTTAGGCTTCGTTTGGCACTGCTTTTTTACTATTTTTTGAAGTAATTTTTTTGTGTAGAAAATTTTAATTTTATACTAAAAAATTATTTTAAGAATCAGTAATAATGCTGTCCCAGCTTTCTTAATGTTTCTTAAAATAGTTTATTTGAAAAAAAAAATTATTTTAAGAAATAATAAAAAAGTTGTTTCAAATGAAGTCTTAGAATTTGTTTGTGATAGTTTTCTTATTGTTTCCCAAAACCACATTTTAGTATAAAAAATACATTAAAAAGTTGTTTTGAGAAGCATTAAGAAAGTTGTCTCAAATGAAGCTTTAGTTAGATGATAAAAAAATTAATGGTTTGGCAAGATTAACATAAACGAGTTTTAAGCGGGTATTTTTCTCTCAGATTCTTGGCATATATTATAGAAAATATGGTAAGTGAGGCAATCATTCAGGCCTCCTAAGGTGATGAATATTGGAATCCATTAGCATCAACGGAAGGCAAATGATAGAGATTAAGATTGTATTGTAACAGATGTGTTATGTAGTCTTTAAAATTTATGCATTGGGTTTAATTGATCAATCTAATCTCCAACTAGATTCGGGGTTACCACTTATTTATTTTTATTTTTTGGGAAATTTTGGGCTGAGACTGTTTTATATAAAAATTATCAGGAAATTACAATAGAAAAAAACAAAGAAAAACTGGGAAAACAAAAACACAAAAAAGAAAATTACAGTGATAATAGCAACCATTTAATTAGAAAAATTAAATGAAAAAGGACTCAGTTTAGCAAGATGCTAACCAAAAGGCACAAGATCAGATGAAGAGAACTTATCTCATTGGGACTTTCAGATAGCAGTTTGAGAAAGATTCACAGCTCAAGCCGCCACAAGGCCATACAAAAGAAAATAAGAGAAGATGGCTCAAGGACCTCCATTGAAGGCAATATGATCTGGGTCGCAACAGAGTCTGTAAGCATAACCAACCAAAAGAATTCCTCCAGCAAGTTGGCATCCATCATCATTGTCGAAATCCACCAGATGGATATGCAATCCCATCTCAATAAAGAATCATTGAAAAATCAAGATCATCAAAATTGCTAGTGATATTCAAGGAAAGATCTTTATCTGTAACAGATGTGTTATGCTGGCTTAAAGATGATACATTAAAACATATTATGAATTTGATACGTTAAAACATTTTTGCAATGCTTTAACTACCAGTACCACAATATCCACAACACCCCGGCGCCAGATCAGAACATCGTAGCATTAGAGCCTTGGAAAAAATATCAATTAATTTTGTGCCTCGGCGGTGCCATCATTCAAGCGTCGTGGGGCCCGATTCCATTTCTATACTATTATAAATAGTGTTTCAGTTTGTTTTCGTTGGGAGTTTTGTCATTTTTAGTGAGTCTTAAGGGCTTAAGTGTAGTGTCCCCTTATAGTCAATCTAAGGGAGGTCAGACGAGAAAACAATACTTCATTTAAAGATCATCAGTCAATCTATTTGTAAGCAATCAGACATTTGGAGGAGAAATGAGTGTGGAGAGCCTATTGTACAATCCAGATGACATTTGACTTCACTTTTACTCTTGTACTTTCTCTTATATGCAAGTGAATTATGGTTTGTTTTCTCTTTTTTTTTTCCCCATGGGTAGCTAATTTCCTAGTTTTTGGCTAATGATGTGAATCATTTGCAAGTACTAATGTAGACTCTTATACTTTGAATAAATAATGGATATTTACAATATTTTATGTATGGGTATTTTCAATATCTCATGTTCTTAATTTAATGTGTATAATAGCCATGTGTAATTAAAATTTAGTGTGATATATTGCCTCAAGAGAGGAATATTAAAATAAATATAAGTGTTGGAATAAAACTGATATATTCTTAAACATAGGATGCTTAGTGTTATTGGTTCCATAGAGATTCAATTATTATAGGAGGCCATAAACCTCCCTTCACATCCCTATAAGGTTGATAGAGATCTATGGATGCATATGCTCTGATCCACATCAAATAGACGAGTCTACTTAGAAAAAATTAGGTAATTCATAGTCGTTATTCCAAAACATTTGATCATCTGGTATCTTATATTTTCTTTTGCCTTCCCTAACAGAGATAGAATCTCAATCCTTACTTTCATTCAATTGGATAAACATTTTAGTTATAGTAGGCATGACTAATTTATTTGAATATTATCAGAATAATTGATCATTGGATCAAAATTCTCTCAATCACTTTATTACTTAATCTTGTGTAATTAGCGGGTATTATATATCTAAAAAAATCTAAGCATATTTTAACCTATAGCATAAATACAAGTCACGCACCCATGCAGGTTCATCAAGTTTTTTGCACTATTATCAGGCAAGCAACGTACAAATTTGTTATTTGATTTATATTTTTGAACTAGTTGCGTATTTAGACTACTTGTATCCCGTAACTTGTATCCTACTTATAATTTTGATTATTTTATTTTAAAAAAATAAATTTTGGTTTATTTTGGTTATTTAATTTTTTGGTATTTAATTACCTCATTATTATTGAATATGCAATAGATTAGTAATGAGCCCTTGTTTGATTTAGAGACTGAGTGGAGCCTTACAAAAATTAAAAATTTTAAAAAGACTTTAGCTTTAGGTATGATTGAACTAGTTTAAGATCATAATCATTCTAGACCTCTTAGAGAGTACTTCAAACCTGTAGTAGCTGAAATTCATTATAGTATCAATAGAACCACTATCCAAGCTAATAAAATTAAGTTGAAATACACCATAATTTAGATGGTTCAAAATTTCTAATTTTGGGGATTTCCTATTGAGGATCTCAACCTACACTTAGCTAGCTTTTTAGAATTCTACATAACATTCAAGTATAATGATGTCAGCGATGATGCTATCAGGCTTCATTTGTTTTCATTTTTGCCAGAGGATAAAGCTAAGATGTGATTGAATTTTTTTCCCATAGGCTCTATAAACATTTGGAATGAGTTGACACATAAAATTCTAGTTAAGTATTTTCCACCTACCAAAACTACTAAGTATAGAAATGATATCACATCTTTTTCTTAGTTTAAAGGAAAGTCAATCTATAAAAGTGTGGAGAGATTTATGGAGATGCTTAAAAAATGATATTGTCATACTTTACCTAATAGGTTGGTTATTTTGACTATCTATATTGGGAAGATAAGATATCGTAGGTCAAAAATTTGATGTAGTAGCCGGAGGATCCTTAATATCTAAGCCATTAGAAGAAGCCTATATATTAATTAAGGAAATGATAATAAATAATTTTTAGTGGCCTTTTGATAGGATGAATCCTAAGAGTGTAGCTGGAGTTTACGAGTTAGATGTCTTATCTATTTTGACTCCTCAAGTAGTTATTACATCTAAAAGTTAGATAGTTTTGGAGTTAACTCATAATATGGATCACATATGATTTTGGAAGAGCAAGATTTGAATTCTTTTGGTAAGAATAATGCTAATGGGATTAAGTATATGAATTTGATTGGAACATAAAATAACCCCTATTTTAATACTTACAATCTAGGTTAGAAGAACCAACCTATTTTTTATTGGTCTAATAATAATGTTGGTGATAACAATTAGTGAAAATCTAGTTAATTAAATTAAGGAGGAAATTGGAATAATCCTCAGTAACTTGTAGTTAAACCTAGACCTTCTTATCCCCTGGATTTTAATTAGAATAATCAATTCAGAGATAGGAAGAGACTTTTGAATAGGTAATGATTTAATTGAGAACTTAATTATAAAGTCAATTTACTTTAAATAAAAATTTAGAAAATTAACTAGGATAGCTTGCAATATCTTTTAAGTAGTAGACCTTATGGAATATTGTCCAGTAATACTAAATTAATCCAAAAAAGAAAGAGAAGGATCATAGTGTGGACCACTTCAGGAATGGTAATGATGTTGCACAACAAAAATAAAAAAATTTAGGCAAGTCTAAATAAAGACTATAAACTTAGCACTGCTTGGGAAGCAACCCAAATTTATTGATGTTAGGTCTTAAATTTTATTATTAATATTCTTGTTTGTTTGTGTAATTTTGATATTATTATTATTTTTTCATAATTATGAAAATTGCAAAATATTTGTTAAATATGTATGACTAACTATGGTTATGACTAAAATAAATAATTTCAAAATTTTTAAGAATTCACATAAGTTTTAAATTTAACCAGCATCGTAGCACCAAGTTTAGAGCAACCTAACTTTTCTTGTCAACTGTTGTAGCATTTA